AAATGCCCTAGTTACTTTGGGGTGAGTAACATAAAGCTACTCGTAAGAGATGAGCATGCATCGACCTAACTTTTTACAAGGTTTCCACATTATCATGGAATAATTCAAAGGAGTCATGCTACCTAATGTCTATGTTAAAAGTGGGACTAAGTGATCATCTCAAACTACACATGCAATTGAAATGAAACACGACACACAAGTATACTAAACAATATTGAAACACAATATACAACATATAAGCATACATTTCCAAGTATACTAAACCATATTAAGACAAGTCATGCAATGTCTAAGCATATTCACACAAGCATACATTTAATATGGAAATCCTATAAATTAAGTACACAACACAAGTATACTAACTAAATGAGATACGCCTAAAACAAGTATACACGGCACAAGCATACTAACTGTAATTTAAACTCACAGAGCAAGTATACAAGTTTAAGTATACTAAACAAGATTCAAATACCCATAGCAAGCATCAATTCTCAAGCTACAAGTAATGCATGATTAACAACTTGAAATTAAATGGGAAATCAAATAGTGGAAAGACTAAGACACGCGGTCGCTAGACTAAGCAAATATTTTTGGGTAATTACGAACCACAATGTACCACCTAGTGCGCACTTATAACTTAGAAGACTATTGTCTCCTTACTAGAGCCAAACCCTAGCCATCACATAAATTATGTCCTCACAAGCTTTCCAAAATATATAAGTTCAAAACTTATACAAACTCAAATGCAAGTTACCATATTTTATGCACAAGTAAGGTTGAATCTACATAAACCATGTCCTGGAATTCAAGTCTAAATAGCATATGACATGTCATGTCGTCAATATGCAATTTATAAATAAACCAAGAATATTTTACAACAATTGAGCCACATTACCATCCTAAGCCACAAGTACTAAATAAGCTTCAATTTAGTAACTAACTTCCAAGGTAAACAATTGTAATATTCTACCAAGCTATATACCTACATAAGATATATTTAAATAAGTTACTCAAGACAATGATATCACATATCTTGCAAAGTCAAATCACCATCTTTAGAGACCACAAGTACTAATTCTACAACAAGTTAGTAGCATGCTCACAAGGTAATTAAACATACTAAGTTTCAAGAGGTTATCAACCTAACATGAGAAATCTCTAGATTTCCAATCAATTCCAAATAAGCTCAAATTAATATATGTTAATGAATATAGCACAATCTTTACATATATTACATCCAATACCAATTTAAGTGACAACAACACCTAAAAAAAAATTAATTAAGTTAATTAATTAATTTTCTCTAGATTTGTAAACAACTTTAAATGTCCTCAATTTAACATAGGTTAAAGAGCACACCAAGGCCTACTTTAATATCACATTACAAGTTGATTTCATGCTTGTTTCAACTATATGAATTAAACCTTCATAAAAGATAAATATTAAATAAAATTTTCAATTCTTATTCAAATGCTCCCAATTTAATATATGTTGATGAACATACCAAGGCCTAATTTACTAGCATGCCACAACTTAATTCCAAGTTATACACAACCATATGAATTAAATCTTAAACATAGAAAATAATTAAATTAAATTCTAAAATTTGTACAAAGGCATGCTCACAAGTTATATATGCTTATAAAACAACCAATATAACTCAAATATAAACCTATGACATCCCCTACCTCAATTTGAGATGAAAATCTCAAATCCCCACCGAAATGAAACCGCTCCGAATCCGACAAAACTTCGGGATTTTGTCGGGGACAACGAGGTGATCATTAAACCCCAAGGAAGTCCTACCAAAATCCTAACTTGACTTCAAGCCCAAACTCAAAAAATGGCCAAAACGGGATTCTAATCCATTGGAATCGAAGGCCTCATCAAGGCGAACAATAAAGCCTAAGGCATCACCGCTTTTTAATCAAGGGAAGAAGTCCAAAAGAGGAGAGAGAAGATGGCAGCCATGGGAGAGAGAGGAGAGTACTTGACTTTTATTTCTTGCACCCTCTATTTATAGAATTTCAAAAAGTGCCTCGAATGGGTCCGTACGATGTCCGAAAAAGTGGAATTTGAGCAAATGCGCTCAAATGACAAAACTCTATGAACAAAAAAGAACCAAAATGAGAAAATATGAACAACGGAAGAAACGGAGTCGAAAACTGAGTCCTGAATAGAGTGATATGCCCCAAACAAGTTCGGCGGCAACTAAGGTCGAAAACCCAAAAACTGTAGAGTTCGACCGCAAGACAATTCTAAGAGTACATGACTCGATAAATTGTGAAAATGAATCCCGTATGAGGATTCAAGCCCCAAGGAGACACTTAGTAATTAATTTTCATTAATTGCACAAAGGCCCCTACACAAAAGGATAACTGCACAAGTGACCTAGAATGAAAATATCTTCTAAAAAGATATTTTCTTAAAATCTCCTGAAATAAAATATCTCCAAAAGATATTTACAAAAACCACCCCTAGAAACATAATATTTTTGAAGAACTATTTAACTTTAATGGACCCCTAAAGTAACTCCATTCCTAAAAAAAGTTTCTATAATAGGGATGAGCGCCGCCACTCAGTAGGATATGGTGGATTACACAAATATATAAGATCTTTCGGAATCCCCAAGGACATGTAAGAATGCAAGGCATCCCAAGGATGAAGGGTTATATAACCTAATGCCTAAGCTCCGTGAAATGAAATGGGATCATACACCCTAACTCTAATTTCCGTAGAATGATAGTCCAACTCAACGTAAATGAAACATAAAGGAAAATCATGCATCTAAAGTACCACAATGCCAAATATAACCACGACAAGGAATAAACCAAATAAAGCACATTACCATGTAATGGCTACCATAAAGCTACAATGATAATAAAGTCCACATAATCGCATGAATGATAGACTCAACACAATCCATGAACTCCTCCATGACACAACTCACATGTGTGGATGCCATGATGCACAAATGATGATAATGTGTTAGATTCATCGGAATCACATTCCGCACCTGCAATAATGATGTGCCGGAATTACCAGAATCATATTTCGCACCTGCAAACAAATGAGAGCCCTTCCACACCTTATGGATAGCATCCATCCATCAAATATCACATATATGCCATGCATACACAACTAATGAACCCAATGATGACCACAATGCACCCATGGCCAAAGTGGCACACACACCATGACCCACACATTATGAAAATAATGTAATGTATCCCAATGCCCGGAAATAAGTCCACTAACCACGTAAACAAATAAACAATCCTTAAAAATGCATATAATCACCTATGCACAAAAATATCCATTTTACCTCCATTTTCACATTAAGCATGCTTAAGTAAACATATGGCAACCAAACATTCTATTTCTACCCCTTCCTATCATACTCATCAATACTATAACCCAATGCAAGCCCAAGGCAATATAACCATCATCTCTACACATATACTACGATATAATTATTGCATTTATAAACAAAATAAACATGACTCACATATACACTTAACAAATAATCATGCTTTACATATCCCCACACCCATAAGACTCAAACAAAGTGCAATATAAAAATGTAAAACACCCCTACCTCACATTGAGGTGAAAACCTCAAATGACTTCAAAATAGAAATGCTCAAATTGCTACAAAACTCCGGAGGAATGATAAGAAAGATGAGAGGAATGACAAAGCCTCCTACAGTCACCTCCGAATCCAAACCCGAACTCGCCCCTAAAACTCAAAGTGTCTAGAACCGAAAACAAAACTAAGGGTTTTGAAGCCTTCGGTGTCCCTGACAAGAAACTCTTCAATGATGAGTCAAAATTCAAAGCTCTAAACCACCCCAACACTCAAAAATGTCCAGAAATGAAAATAGGGACAAGGGTTTCGAAGCCCTTAGTGTCCCCAACCTTTCTCCCTCTTATGGCAAGTCAAAAAAGTGAGTGGAAGGCAATGAAAAGTAAGCTTTAAGTATGCCAACAATGGAGGAACAAGGTGTGAGGAAGAAGATGAAGATTAAGGGAAAAAGGTGACTAAGGAAGATGATATAATCAAACACCCCTATACTAGCACTACCTCTCACACATACACACATCTCCACCCTCCACTTGTCACCATCCTAGCCCCCCACATATCACCAATCTCCTTTCAACACATGACCAATCATAACATAACACAGGTCTCCAACTTTCCTTAATTGCACAATAGTTCCTCCAAAAATATATCTACAAAGATAATCGCACTGTTATCCCAAATGAAAATATCCCCAAAAGATATTCACAGAAATACCTCCAAAAATGAAAATGCTCTAAAAACATAATCGCACAAATAACCCCAAAATGAAAAAGGTAAAACATAAACAAGTGCAATACAAATCCATAAAGACACGAGGGTAAAAATACGCAAAGATAAAATGGAAGAAGTGTCGGGAACTATTCTCGAGCACTTGACTTGATCCGGTCCGACAAGACCGGAACCTGAAAATAAATTGAAAAAGAAAATACAGAAAAATAAAAAAGGGACACAGGTCCTTACAATATGGGAGGTCTGTGTAATTTACCCTTTAATTAAAAGATGTGAATGAGGAAAAAAAAAAAAGAAAAAAAAAAAGAGGGTTATTTTAGGATATAAATCTTTAGGGCTTAGTATTAAATTTCTTCTTGGCTGGGGGCCTTAGGTGACCCCTAAGGCTGCCCCGAGTTAAGAAAGCATGGTATTTACATTTAAGCATTGATCAGTATCTGAACTCCCCACGCCAATGGCATATTTTCTGAAGTTTAAAATGTCTCAACCCCAAGTGATCGAGTGGAACATTTCAATAACAATGCATTAAAATTAGGCAATACTTGAAGGCTACTAAACCTTTTTGAACAGATTATAGAGACTGGTAAAATGTTGATAGTACAAGCAAACTAGTTTAGGGAACATTACAACTTTAATTTTCTTAGGAATGCTCTCTCTCTCTCTCTCTCTCTCTCTCTCTCTCTCTCTCTCAACAAAACTTCCAAGCTGAAACAGAGTGAATTGGGGTTCCCTTCCATCCCGCAATTAGGCACTTCCCATTTATTTCAAGATTACAAGAACTCCCACATGGAAACTGCTGAACAACCAAATTTGCTTGATACAAAGTTGATTCACTGAGTTCAACTTCCACCAGTCCAAACCTCGCAAAAAATGCCCTCCACACATCAATCTTCACACTTCGGGTGATCCTTTCTTTGCCTTCACTTGCAACAATATTATGGATGCCAAAGTGGAAAAACATTCCTTCAATTATCATTCTGTACTGATTGTTTCGATCCATGCAATCGTCGAGGCAGTCAAAAAAAGCAGAGTGGAAGAAAAGTGCTTCTATGAAGCGATTCACAAATGATGGCGAATTATGGTTTGCTTCTACTTCGGTAAGTACTACAATGGAGGGACCAAGTTTTCTGAGCAGCTTCATTAGAGTTTCCAAACAATTAGGCCTTGAAACCATTGTTCTCAATACCATTGGAGAATAAATAGCCAAAGCTTCACCAGGTTCTATATCGAATAGTTCTTCCTTGAGATCTTTCATGTCTGATAAAAAGATTACCTCAAATTTGAAAGGCAATTTCAAGGATTCTGCAAAACTGATTAACCTTTTGCCTGTTTCCTCTATCATCTGTCTATGTGCTGTTCCAACAGCAGTAATCTTTAGATACCGAATAGGGTATACACGCTGCTGCGTGAGAGCTTGCATCAAGACTATCCATTGTACTCCACTCCTGATATTGAAATCAACCAAATGGATCTTAGTTTCAAAAGCCATATTTTCTAATATAGCTTGTATTCCAGCAAATTGCACCACTTGATTGAATGGAATTTGTTGGTGGCATGCCAAGAATGCAAGGTTAGAATTCAACGCAGGATCAGTCATGTTGTATTTTCCTTTTCCTTTTCCCCCCATTGTCTTTGATGGGAACTGATCTCCTGTTTCTCTGTCAATCCTCTCTAGAAGTGCTTTTCCGAAGTAGAAGGCAATTCTCTGGACAGGATTGCCTGTATCCGATGCTAACCATTCACAACGAGAGAGCAATTTGCTTGCACGTTTGAATTGCTGGTAGCCTACCTTCTCTGCTGCAGCTAGAAGAAGGTGAGCAAGTTCCACATCTTGTGTTTCTTCTATGGACAGTCCCGCCAGTGATGAACCGGTACCAAAAGGGTGCATAAGCATGTAGATATCATCCAACCCTTGAGTAGAGAACTGAATGTATCTTTCTCCAGCCAACTTCATGATTTCCTCGGTTGATAGTTTCCTCCCGCTCACATTGCTCAACCTTTCTCCCTTCAATGTCTTGAAGTCACTTGCATAATTGCTGAAGAGTTCTAAAGATGCTAAAATATGTTCCTTATTGGTTTCAGAATTAGGAACTGAAATCCCAGTTTGGAAGATCCCAAGCTTCGCTGTTTCCCGAATCAGCTGTGGATCAGGGGAAGTACTATTGACAATGGGTGGCGGTTGTTGCTGCTGCTGCTTATGTCGCCTTTTTTGTTGCGTCTCTTCATCTTTCGCCAAATGCACTCCCTCGTCAGCGAAGTTATCTTGATAAAGGCCACAGTGAAAACGAAAAGAACCAATGTCTTCCCAATCCTCCATTAATTCTGGAAAAATGCTCTTGAATTGTATCCGTTTGCTCACAACTTCCACTTTATGGTACCCTTTAGGGGATCAACTGTAAGCACCTTGAAATATTTCATTGAAATCGAGTTGAGACAAAATGGATGAAGGCATTAATTGGTTATCTTCAGCAGAAACTAATCAACAAACTGACAGCTATATATATATATATATATATGCTTATTTTATTCATCCTCTAAATTTTCAATTATATAAATGGAGACGGCTAGTCTATATACAGCCAGGGCTGCAACTGTAATTGATAGTGACTAGATGATGTGAGCAAGCATGCTGCCATGCGTAAGATGCCAAGGGCATTGATTGAATAAAAGAAACTTTGGATGTAAGCTTCTGTCACAAGGGCAATTAAATATATTTGATGATGCTTTCATTGCTTAATTAACAAGGTGATTTCACAACTCTGTAGTGTTTTTACGGAAATATTCAACTGAATTTCCTAAGAAATTCAGCCAAGCTATGCTGGACAAACTACAAAAAAAAAAAACAAAAAAAAAAAAATGGAAATTATATAATTAATTACAATAGAAAGAGATACAACAGACACTGAAAAGTACAAACCAAGGACTTTGTCTTGGCTTGAAGACGACGAAATGCTGATTAAAAAACATTTAAATGGGAGAAAATTGCTGGGAAAAAGAAAAAGAAAAATAGAAACTCAGTTTAATTAGAAAATATATTGTGTTATTAATGAGTGTGTGTATATAATACTCCCTCTATCCAAAACATATAAAAAGGAAAAAATTCCTTTCAAGTTGCTCAGTTATTGGATTGGTCCACTGAGGGATAAAAAAAACACTGACTTGGCAGTTGAGTCACATTTACCAAGTTTTCAATTTATACATACAGGTTCCATATATAACATATATATATATATATATATATATATATATATATATATTGTATTATTTAATAAATTTAATTTTTACTTTATGAGTCCCAAAAAAGAAAGAACAAAACTCTTCCCCCAAAAAGTAAGCTTTCCATCCAAATGGAATGAAAACTTTATCTCATCAAAATTAAGTACGAAATAAGCAAAATCAGGCCAAATGTAAAGTAAATCAAGAATGCATTGCATAAGTAATGTTTTGTGATTAATGGGCTCTCTCTTTAAAGAAACCAAATCAGACCTAATCCGGAAGAAGAACAAACGATTTACCAAATAGAAGTAAGAAAAGAATTTTTTTCGCGAACCAGAGGTGAACAATTCTGTTCCTGATACAAAATAGAAGAAGAGAAGTAAAAAATGTATTTTAATTTAAAGTAAAAGGTAAAGTTAAATTGTATAATAATATATTATTATACATATAAAGTATAATTATAAAGTGATATTTGTTTATATTATATTATATAAAGTATAACGTATAAAGTGGTATTCGTATATAGGATAAAATAAAAGTAAATTTCTTTCTTAACTTGCTGACTTTGTGATAACAAGGCTATGTTGCAGAGATTTTGTTAATCACCATCATGATGCTCACCGGATGTCGTCGAGTGAGAGAGTAAGTGGAGAAGATTTTTTTCCAAAAAATGTCCACCTTTTTTATTTTTAGTTGCTCCAAAATAAGTATTCCATTTGAAAAGTCTATACTATGTTTTTGTAACATTACTAATTTTAACCTTTAACATTTAATTTATAAAAAGTAAACCATTACATCATGACTAAGGATTCACTATGGATAAATTTAGTAATTCATTCATTATCAACACAATAAAAACAAGAGAAATCATTTTGTTTAAAAGTTAGATTCCAATAAAAGGACCAATTTTTTTTTTTTTTTTTTTTTGGGATAGAGGTAGTATTGTACAATACTAACTTTTATCAATTAGTTCATATATTTGGTTAATCACCCAACAGAGTATTTATATTTTTCCAATTTGAAGTTACATGTTACCATATGGTCCATGGCATAACTTCGACCAAATGAGGAAAGCCATCCCTCCTTGGTTTATGCTATAACATCAGGAAATCAAACAAAGAAGTTTACTTTATTATCTTCTCCTATTGTCTATTGCATTTGTTCCATCTTCTGATATTTGTTTTTATATCCTTGTCCAGACAAACTTGCGTGAACTTAATTCTCAGAAATATAAATTGAATGTTTTCCAGAATATACCTACTTGGTCACACCAGTCAACATGTATTTGGATCATTGTCCTTGTTTAAGCAAAGAAAAGTTTCACTATATATATATATATATATATATATATATATATATATATATATATATATGTTATTGTGACAGAAGTCTACATTTTTACATATATTTTTTATTTCATGATACCTCGATTATTGTTTTTACCTCAAAGCTTGGGATGGCCTAGTACTAGCATCAAACTAAAGGTAAAAACAAAGTCCAAGCTGAGTGTTAGGCGCTCAATGTTGTGCATTTTAACTCCTTAACTTACATGTTTTATTCTCTTAGTAGTAGTTTATTTGTGATTTTACATTCTTTTATTATTTTTATTTATTTCAGGCTTTAATTATAATATTAGTCAAGGCCAGTGATTTTGAGCTTTAAAAGATGACATTCCGTGGGACCGAGCAATGTTGAAGATCCGAGTCTAATTAAACTTGTAAAATAGTCCAAGAGAAGCGACAAGTTGATGAGAATGGAAAGAAGAAGAAAATAAAGAATCCTTCTACAACTAGGAAATTTTCTCCAAAATTGGTAACTTGAACCCGTTTTGGTACTCTATTTGTATCTCTCTCCTCGATTGTCAAAACAGCTCACTTTTACGCGATGGTTGAAATGAAATTCGAAGAGCTACAATTTTGTATTTCACAAGGATTTCATCAAACAGTTGTTTACCTTGTCCAAACTAGACTGGAAGTATGTACGAATTTTGGAGTCCTTGTTTAGCAGAATTTCCATATATGTCTTCTATGTGGAAAATGGAACTTTGGGGCTGATCTTCTCTTATTTAAAGGGAATTCTCTACAACATTGGAGGATCATATAGAGGAGCTTGAGGCTGAGACAAGAAGAGAAGCATTCAGAATAAAGAAAGATTAATCCATGGCGGTAAAGATGTCTTTCTCAACCATGAAGAATTCCATTTCAAAGATGCTCGGTTAAATGCTTTGATAGGGTTGTGATATAGCCCTAGCTCAGCACCACTGGTTTAATTGCATTTATTTATTGACCAACAATTACTATTCATGCATGAATGTGTAACCTATAGGATTTTTAATTGACTTTTCAAAAAAAATCAGTTTTAAAGTTTTAATTCAATTACAAAGTATTTTTCTATCTTGTATTAGATATTTCAATCTTGTGATTGAACACAACTCATTCACTTCTTATAGTTGTGAATGAGATGGTTATACATAGTTTTTCTATGAATATAATATTAGGGATTTGATGGATTATGCCTAGAAAAATAGACCATACTACACCCTAGAGTAAAGTAGATGGTTTATGCTAATCGAAGATAGTCCATACTTAGCTTTAATTTATATTATCTTTAGCTGAATTAATATGTGCTTGTAATCATGATTAATTCCTTATGTATGTTATATATATATATATATATATATATATATATATATATATATATATATATATATATCCAATAAATTGATTCAATTGACTGGTGGTGTGAAGTTAGTGGTGAAGTCATGCCCCTAGTTTCTCTCTCTGATTTTCTCTCTCTAAATTAATCATTGTTTTTTATTTAATTTTATACTTAGTTCATCTAGATTAAAACCAATTCAAACATTTTTATCTTAATTCAAGTTAATTGAGAATTTGAGAAGTTTGTTGACAACTTCCTTAACATAAGTTCCTTGAGTACGACGCCCTTACAAGTAAGCCCTATTTGCAAAGATTTGTGCCCTTCCGAGTGGTTACATATAAATTGTACAACAAATATTTGGTGCCGTTGCCGGGGACTTGTTCTAAGTTCTTGACAGATTAAATTAAATTCTATAATTAATTTCAATTAGGATTTTGTTATACCCCTGGATTTCCGAATGTGAGTTGGCCGGGCCATGCCCGAACACTCAGAGATATCAAAATCAAACTGGCAATAAACAAACACAGAATACAAAAAGGATAAATAGAATAAATAAAATGTGGAAATGAAAACTAGAATAATAATTAAATCCTCCAAAACAACTTTCACTAGATAATGATCTCTTTTGATACCAATAATTCTCAAAAAATACGACTCGGGAATCCATGCTATGGCCCTAGAAAATCCTAAACTGATATAAGAACAGTAACAACTGTCAACATCTACATACTGAAATATAAAGTAAAATCCCATGTAGATAATCTGGAAGAATGATGAGGACTAGTTTCTGCTCTGCACGATCAAAATCTACATCTGGTACTGACCTAGTCTTGAAAAATAAATAGTGGGTCAGGCCCACAAATAAATTATTTCTACTGCATCTAACAAAGACCTAAGGAATGAATACATCCTAGTCAACTCATGCAATAGCTACACAGTCTGTATATATATATATATACACACACACTAAAGACTCTCACTCGACTATAGGGCAGGTTCATCCTAATACAAGACATTATGTAGAACACATATGCAGACATGAATATCGTCATCTACCAAGGTACACCACATCCTCTATATCCAGCTGTGCATCCAGGGCAATATAGTCTTTTTAACCATCGATCCAGAGACTCAAGCTCATATCATTGGGCATATCCATATATATATATATATATATATATATATCCCATCATATCCAAAACATAAAAGCAAAACTATCCGCCATAGTCTTTCAATGGCATGTCATCCAACTAGTTCTATGGTCTGACACGAATAGATAGGACTTAACTTAATTCATCCATAATATGTCCCCATATCCTGACAATGGTTCTCACACAATCCAATAAATGATGCAAGCATATAAATACATCAAATGATCCAGAAACAAATATACTAATAATTATATAGATATCCATTACATTTAATTAAGTAATATAAACAACAATTATAAATAGCATATAATTAACTTACTAGACAAGTAATTAACTTATGACGGTCTTAGTCGCATCACATGTCAAATTAGGAATGTGATTTAAGAAGCTTTTTTGGTCAAATATAAATTTATAAAACCACCACTACTACTACTACTAAAGTAGCATAGAGAGTAGGGATAGTCCCAAGAGATTGCAAGGATATTTAGAAAAAAAAAAAGTCGGATTAGTAGGTCGAATGATCAAAAGAGTGGTTTAGTTGGTTTAATTAAACAACAATTGAATTGAAACATGCAATGTAAAAACATGCTAAAAGGATTAGGGTGTAGAGAATAGGAGAGAGGTCTTAGGGCATAGGAATCACTACTAAGCTCTTCCTATAAACATCTAGCCTTTAATTATTTTGGGAAATTCAATATTGTAAACCAAATGTGTACTACCAATTAGCATGGATGCCAATAAAAAGTATGAATTCTCTACTTAAACTAGAGTGTAGTACAAATCATCAAATTAAAGCATTAACCATTCAATAAACACACAATTGGAGCACACTTTAATCTAGAGAAATATACATCTTGTAACCAAAAAGTATGGAATATCAAACACAAGCATGGATTGTCTACCTAATCTAGGAATTGAAATGCATTAACACTACAATTACACTAAGACAAGTTAATTAAACTAATTAACTAGGGGTGTAGAATAAACCATCAAGCATGAGCATTGTCCATCAAATTAATTCATAAGAGTATCCATTAAGAACAATCATGCATAACCATCAATAGATTCACCATTCAAGCACACATAGACATGGATCAAATTTAGAGACTCAATGTAGAGACATAACCCTCAATTCAATCACACATAGACATGTAAAAAAATTAGAGAGTTAATTGGAAGAATTAATCCATACTAATCATAGATAAAATCAAGATTTATATCATCTCAAGGTTAAAACATTTATTACAACATAGAATCCCCAAAAATGTCAAAGGTCTAGGGTTTAGAAGACTAGCCTAGGGATTTTCCAACCTCTAAGAGAATTATTTAGCTGCTCATGGATGTGGTCATTGAACCCTCGAGGGATTTCTTCAAGTTGAGCTCTATCTTCTTCCTCTTTTCTTGCCTCTTTTATTCCATAAAACCCTAAAATCTAGAGAGATAAACTAAAACTAGCTATAGACTATTGTATGTAAAATTCATGGAACAAAAAGTGGAACAAAAGTTAGAAAATGGTTCAATTTGATTTAAATACATGCTTCTTTGTACAGGCAACAACTCAGAAAATGGCCTTTTCATTGGTGTAATCCTGCAGCCAAAAGTTAGGTGGAGTTCGGGCGCGCTCGGGAATTAAACAGCTCACTGCCAGTAAGGTTTCGATCGATCACCGAGGTCTTCGATGGATCACCAATGGCTGCGATCGATCAAAGATGAAGTGACATACTTATCTTGACAACTAGCAACCTTATCTGTTTAACTGATGCTGACATGGCACTTTGAACGATCGCCAATGGCTTCGATCGATCGCCACTTTGGATGAATGATGAGGTGGCAGCAACCCTTTGTTAACATGGGTATGATGGATCGTAAGTCCTTCAATTGATCGGGGATGAATCTTCGATCAATTGCCAATGCTTCAAGTCAGATTTTCTGACTTTTTCTGGAATTTATTCCAAACTCCAAAAAGGGCTTAATAGGATGTTTTTAGCCTGTTTGAACCTTATTAACCTGAAATAGACAAAAACAAGAGTTAGAACTAAAACAAGAAAATAAAATAGATGAATGGACTAAAATACCCTAACTTAGCATATTTTAGCACTTATCACACCCTCAAACTTAGATATTGCTAGTCACTAGTAATGAACTGTAGAAAGAAAACAAATGAATGAATAACTATACAACTATGAACTAGAAAGCAATAAACGGATAACGCCACTTTCGTAGGGAACACAGTTGTATTTAGCATATGCAACAAGCCTTTTAAACCCCTAGGTTACCCCTAGTGGACGAGTGAAGTCTCGTGAGGATTTCCAAAAATGATACAAACAAACATTAAGTCTTTTCTCATTTAAGAGACACTAACATTCCAAACAAGCATTGAAAGAAAACTACCTCAAGTATGCAATTTTCAATCATCTCTAAGCAATTTCCCAAAATTTCAACAAGTAAGCAAATATGGTCCTCCACACATCTAGCAAGATGATCATGCAAATCAAAACAACTTTAGCATAATTTTTTAATGAACCGGCATCAAATATGCTGCTATCTTAGCAAATCAATGAAATGGGCACAACTAGTCTCAAACTAGCACATAAATCTAGTACTAATCATTAAGACAAAGAATGAACCTCTTTATTTAATTTATTTCCTACATGCTCTCTTTTTCTTTCTTTTTTTTATTTTTTTTATTTTAATGGGATTAATGACAAGAGTATGGTGTAATGTAGTGATCTCTTAAGCTCTCTAGATGATCCATGTAACGAGTGTTAGGTCAATGACTCCCAAACTGAACAGCTTTAGGGCATTAGGTGTAAAGACACCCTAAGGAATTAAAAGCTCAAATCAATTAGGTTACAAATCAAAACAATTCTCATAATGTCATTTCCCTACTTCCACCTTTGGTGAGAAGTGCTCACTTTTCTTTTTCTTTTGCTTTTGCATTTTTTTTTTAATTATTGTGTGAGCCCTTTACTTTTCGGCGCGAGAATTTAATGTTTAATGAGACAAGAATCTCGACTTCTCGGTAAAAAGGTTTGTTATTAGCATGCAAGGTCATCTTGTCAAGAATGAAAGCTTTCAAAGTAATACTAGTTCAATTGGGATATAACCAAAGCAATGATCACTAAGCATGTACCCCACAAATGAATACTATTGTGCGCATGTGCAAGTGTAGAACTCTAGAGTCGAATCTTAAAACAATCACACAAAAAAGATGATATGGACCACAAAAGCAAGCATGATATCAAACTTTGTGAAAAATTTGTTCAAAAATGGCATCCAAAGGCATACAAGGAGTATCAAACTCACAAGTCAAGCAATTTTTAAATTCTAAGTAACTTGACCCTCAAAAGGTCAGAATCATAGCTACATTAATCTCAAATCTCAATCATACAATTAAGTCTTAAATTTAAATAGAATGCAACAGAGCCATCTTACCTCCAAACTTAAACCGCACATTGTCCTCAATGTGCAATGAGAACAATGGGAAAAATGGAAATAATATACCATGGTGGCAAGCCTATGAAGCGCGGTAATGATCCATTAGGAAATATTGCACTCCTAAACTTGGAATCAAGAACCTATTTGAATAACCACACTAGCAAACTCACATCAAATATCAAATGGGATAAGGATAAACAAATCAAGCATTCTAAGGCAATATAACACAAGATGAAAGATATGTGAGATCAAACCCAAGATGAAGCATGAAAGTATGCATGACTATACAAGGGGGCACAATGGTGAAACTTTTTAATTTTTCATTTTATGAAAGCATACAGAAATACAAGATGTAACAAAGATGAAGAACAAAAATGTAAGAAAACATGCAAAATGCAAAAGATAAAGGACACATTGTGTTGTGAGGCTAAGTTTAACGTCTCTAGCAAAATGAAATGTTATATTGAATGACCCCCTCTAAGCAATATAGAAGCAAAAATGATCACTTATAACTCGTGACCCCCTTCTTTGCATAAATGAAACAAATAATGGTAAAGAATGAGAAAAATGAGAATCTTACCCCTTTGGATCAAAAGCAATGACCGGTTAAGAATCTCAGTCTCAAGCCCTTACAAGATTTTCAAGAATGAATCACAAAGATAAAAGGCAAGTAAGATGTTTAAAGACCCGGTCATTTTCCTTCCTTTCTTTTTTCCTCCATTTTTACGGATAAATTTTTTTCGTTGATTTTTCTTTTACGAGTTCGGTCTCTCATCGCTTAGTGTCATCTCGAGTGCTCGGGAATGGTTTCTGAGACTCTTTCCTTTGGATTGACAACTTTCTTAAAGGACCGAGTCATTTCTATTTTTTTATTTTTTCGACATTACTCACTTTTCGTCTTTTCCCCATTTACTACTTTGTTGGAATAACCTCACTTTTTGTGTTTGAAGTTGAGTTTTGACTTCACGAGTTTTCATTCCAGTTAATTTCCTCGAAACACGTAGCTTTACTTTTGGAGAAAAGCTCGTCAGTTGTTTCATTTTCCCATAGGGGCGTGGATGAAAGGAATCTTCAGAAACATTGATATTTCTTGGGGTATTTTTCATAAACATCTTTTGAAGATATTTATTTCAGAGGTTTTTAAGAAAATATCTTTTCGAAGACATTTTCATTCTGGGCAGTTGCACAATTATCCTTTTGTGTAGAGGCCTTTGTGCAATTAATGAAAGTTAATTACAAAATATCTCCTTAGGGCTTGAATCCTTGTACGGGATTAATTTTCACATTTCATCGAGTCATGTACTCTTAGAATTGTCTTGCGGTCAATCTCCCAAGTTTTTAGGTTTTTGACCCCTATTGCTGCTAAACTTGTTTGGGGCATATCTCCCTGCTCATGACTCGGCTTTTGACGCCATTTTTTTCGTTATTCATTTTTTCTCATTTCGGTTCTTTATTGTTCACGGTGTTTTGCCGTTTAAGCACATCTGCTCAAATTTCACTTTTCCAGACCCGGTGGGACCCGTTCGGGGCACTTTTAGGGTTTTTCTATAAATTGGGGGACTTAAAATGAAAAGTCAAACTTTTCTGTCTTCTTCCTCTCTTGGCCGACAGCCATGGAAGCCAAGGGACTGCCACCCTTCTTCTTTCTTTTCTAGTCACTTCCCTTTAGGAAAATGCCTTAGTGCCTTAGTGTTTATCATAACCTTGTCGAGGCGATCCTTTCTCGCTATTAGAATCCGGTTTCGGCCATTTTTCGAGTTGGGGTTTGAAGCCAAGTTTAGATTTTGGTGTGACCTCCTTGGGGTTTAATGTTCACCTTATTATCCCCAATTAAACCCCGAAGTATTGTCAGATTCGGGGCAGTTTCCATTTGGTGGCTTTTGAGATTTTCATCTCAAATTGAGGTAGGGGATGTTGTAGGTTTATATATATGTTGTATTGATTGTTTTCTGAGCATATACAACTTGTAAGCATGCCTTTGTTCAAGTTTTAGAATTTAATTTGATCATTTTCTAAGTATAAGATTTAGGCCCTGTTTGAATTGGCTTTTCAAACGCTGCTTTTGGCTTCTGGGCTTAGAAGCTATTATAAAGGATGTTTGGATAATTTTATAGAAGAGCTTTTAGATCTTAGAAGAGCGTTTTGGAGAAGCTGGGGACCCTAGCTTTGGTAAAACGCTCTTCTAGATACACACGGGAAGCCATTTATGGATTTAATGAATCTTTCAATATGACATGCGTACCCTTTTCTTTTAGGCATTAAGAAAATAAAATTACAACATCTGCCATTATAAAATAAAAGATATCGTTTTATTCCTAAACCCTAATTACAACTTAAACGAGGAAGATCGTCACTTTCCTTCTAAACCCTAACGACAACTCAAACGACAACTTCTCGCTTTAAGGATCTCTTTTGTTTCAGGCAAGGATATGACATCTTTTACTTTGTTGTATATGAATGATTGATTATATTTTGTATATGAATGTTGGATTGAATGTATGGTGTGAAGTTTGGAGTGACCAAAATTTTGAACTAATTAATCGTACTGTTTTTCTTAACCAATTTTTTATTTATGCCCTAATCGATCACGTGAATGTTGCATTATTAAACCTTCATTTTTGTATTAACAACCATTTTTCCATGATATATGGATGCATTTACATATACAACATTATAACATTTGTTATAAATATACTTTTTATACTATATTTGACATATTATTATAAGTATGCTTTTTGTACTATGATTGAAATATTGGAGAAAACTTTAATAATAATTAAAGTATCAAGTACTGTATTCATTTACTTTGTTGTATATGAATGATTGACTCTACTTTGTGTATGAATGTTGGATTGAATATATGGTGTGATGTTTGGAGTTACCAAAATTTTGAACTAATTAATCGTACTGTTTTTCTTGACCCATTTTTTATTTATGCCCCTAATCAATATGTTGCATCATTAAATAACCATTTTTGTATAAACAACCATTTTTCCATGATATATTGATGCATATACATATACAACATTATAACATTTGTTATAATTATACTTTCTATACTGTGTTTGACATATTGTTATGAATGTTTGTGATTGAAATATTGGAGAAAATTTTAATAAGAATAATTGTAATATTTTAATTTATTGTATATGAATGATTGATTCTATTTTGTGTATGAATGTTGGATTGAATATATGGTGTGAAGTTTGGAATGACCAAAATTTTGAACTAATTAATCATACTGTTTTTCTTAACCCATTTATTTTATTTTATTTATTTATTTTTATTTATGCCCTAATCGATCACGTGCATCATTCACGTATGAACATTGTTGTATGGATACATATACATACATATATGTATGAACACTTAAACAATCATTTTTGTATGAACAACTATTTTCCCATAATATATGGATACATATACAACATTATAACATTTGTTATACTTATGTTTTTTATACTATGTTTGAGATATTGTTATGAGTATACTTTTTATATTGTCCTTAAGATATTGGAGAAAACTTTAATAATAATTAAAGTATCTAGCCCAATGCATAATCACCTCTCATTCTTTATTAATCACCTCTCATTTTTTATTATTTAATTTTTGTTTTGTTTTGATTTTGTTTTGTTTTGATTTTGTTTTGTTTTTTTAGTTTTGTGATGGAAAATGATAGTGATATTGAGAAATATATATATGAGAGGATTTTAGAACGTGTTAAAAAAGATGATATAGAGCTCAATCAAATCATCGTTACAGCATCATGTGTGGCAGTGCTACGAAACTCATGATTATATAAATATTTTGTTAGTGCTATGACATTTTGTATTATTTGATTATTTGATTATATTGAATGGGTTGTTATTTTGTTAGTTGATACTTAATACAATGTAATATTTTATATACTGCACGAATTATTTGATTATATTAAATGAGTTGCTTGTATATATCATGTTGGATTATTTGATTATACTGAAATGTTAATTACTTTATGTTACCAAACAGTCCAAAAAACACTCAATTCAGGGCCAAAATAGTTATTTTAGCATTAAAAGAGTTTAAGCAAATGATTTGCCAAACATACATTAAAAACTCTTCTGGCCTTAAAAGCTCTTCTAAAATATAGTTCCCAAACAATTACAGATAAGCTAAATAGAAGTGATAGTTTCTGCTTCTTTTTTTCTTCTGCTTAAAAGCAGAAGCAAAAGTTATGCCAAACGAGCACTTAATTTCCATGGATGTATATAGCTTGGAATTAAATTATGACATGCTATTAAGTTAGGCCTTGATATGTTCATTAACATATATTAAATTGGAAATATTTGAATAAGTATTGCAACTTTTATTTAATAATTTTATTTTATGAAAATTTAATTCACATGGTTGTAACTAACATAAAATCAACTTGTAATGTGATATTAAAATAGGCATTGGTATGTTTTTTAACCTATGTTAAATTGAGGACATTTGGAGTTGTTTAAAAATCTAGAGAAACATAATTAATTAGCTTAATTAATTTTATTCTAAGTGTTTTAGTCACTTAGTTTGATATTTGATGTGATATATGTAAAGACCATGCTATGTCCTTTAACATATATTAATTTGAGGCTATTTGGAATTGATTTGAAATCTAAAGAGTTTAATTATTTTGTTTAATTAAATCCTATTTACTTGGTCCATGGATTTAATTATGCCTTAGAAGTTGTTTCTATGTTTAAATCATAGTAATTAGACTTAACATGATATAGGATATCATTGTTTTGCAAAGCTTGTTAAAATATATCTTGCGTAGGTATATAGGTTGTTTAGAATATTATAATTGATTACCTTGAAAACTAGTTACTAAATTATAACTTATTTAGTACTTGTGGCTTAGAATGGTAATTTGACTCAATTGTTATAAAATATTCTTGTTTTGTGTATAAATTGCATTTTGAGGACTTGACTTGTCATATGTCATTTAGACTTGAATTCTAGGACATGATTTGTGTGGATTCAACCTTACTTGTGTATGGAAGATGTTTTTTATGCATTACTTGATTTTGTATAAGTTTGGCCTAACTTATTGATTTTGGAAGGCTTGTAAGGAAAATGTACATGTGATGGCTAGAGTTTGGATCTAGTATGGAGACAAGAGTTTCCTTAATCATATGGAGTGCGCAATAGGTAGTACCTTGGGGGTTGTAATTGCCTAGAATAACTTATACACGTGCGCACTAGGTAGTACCTAATGGGTCTTAATTGCCCAGATAACTTGCTTGGTTGGTGATCAAGTATCCTAAGTCTTTCTACTATTTGATTTCACATTCAATTTCAAGTTGTTAATCATGGATTACTTGTGGCTTGAGAATTTGTGTTTACTTGGGTATATAAATCTCATTTAGGATACTTGAAATTGTATACTTGCTTCATGTGTTTAAATTGCATTTATAATACTTGAAATTGTATATTTGCTCCTTATTTAAACCTCATAATGTATACTTGAACTTGTATACTTGCTCCATGAGTTTAAATTTTGTTTAGTATACTTGTGTCGTGTATACTCGTTTTACGTATAATTCATTTAACTTAGTATACTTGTGCTTACATACTTGATTTACGAGTTTTCCATATTATTAGTGTACTTAGGTACGTATGCTCAGATATTGCATATCTTGTTTTAATGTGGTTTAGTATATTTATAAGTGTATACTTATATGTCGTGCATGGTGTTCAACATTGTTTTGTATACTTGAGCATGTATACTTGTGTGTTGCCGTTCATTTCAATTGCATGAGTAGCTTGAGATGATCCTTTAGACTCATTTGGAACATAGACTTTAGGTGGCATGACCCCTTTTGAATTGTTCCACATTAATGTGATAACCTTGTAAAAAGTTAGGTCTATGCATGTCCATTTCCTACGAGTAATACAGGTTACTCACCCCTCACTGAATGCGACCTATTTCAGGCAAGAAGACGTGGTTTTGGGACGCACAATATCCCTAGGTCATTTCGTTGGATTGAAGTTCTTATAAAAGTATTCTTATTCACATGCAAGTGTTAGTATGTTTGAGTTTTACTTTTAAAGTTATAATGTATAGTTAGGTTAAAAATGTCATTTATTCCTTGAGATTTGTAATGTGCGCCTAAGCACATTTTTTAACACTCATTTGATATGTATGACATGAGGCCAAGGGCCACAAACTTTAAAGTTCAAGTGTATGCATTTAAAATTCAAGTTTGCCTTTGAAATGTAATTTTTGTCAACTTGGAGGTTTGGCATGTAAAATTTTGTAAATGAAATGTAATGAAGCCGTAGGCCATTATACCGTGTCTAAAATGCCATATTACAATTGCGTGCATGCTGACATCATCACACAATAACATTTAGTTTAAATCAATCATGCTATAGGGGATTCAAATGAGACTTAAGAACTCTTTTCAGCTTTGGTGTATAATAGACTTCATTTTCACATTTTTGACCTGTTCGGTCGACCGATGGTCTATTTCGGCTGACCAGTTCATTGTTCAATTTGATTTGAATAGTAATTTGTGATTTCCAGTAGCTAGAGTACTGTCTGAGTCACAACCGGCCGATCGATTCATCATTTTGGACGACCGAAGTGATTTTTCTTCATTTTTCAGATTTGGGGTCATTCTGGGTTCATTTCGGCCGACCGAAATGCTTCAGCTCTTTATTCTTCAGTTTTGGAATAACATTATTGCTTCAACTTCAAATGGTCATAACTTCTTCATTTCTAGTCCAAATTGGGTCATTTTTTAGTCTAACCTTAAGAGATTGAAGTCAGCTTTCTGATGGTACTAACCACACATAGAAACTACAACCGTAGTGAGAGTTATGACAGTTTTAGTGAGATAGAATTGTGGTATCTCCTAATCAAAGGATGCCATTTCGTTCTATCTTCATATCTTTGTCGTCCAGACTCTGAATCAAGAGATTCTTGAGTCTAGAGTTGTCGATTTTTTGTTTCTTATCCAATGGTGTGCATGGTGGCACCCATTGCAGTTTGGAATAACCTTTTTGCCCTCAGTCCATTCCTTGAAGGGTTGAAACCCTAACTTCAATCTTGCTTCCGTAGGGATGACGTACATCTCCAAAGACTTGTTTTTGTTTTACTTTCGCATTTTGAATCCGTTTCGAGTCGTCACAGGACACACTGGGTTGTAAAAATCTAGGGTCATCACAAGATGTCATTTCAATTCATCTTTCAACACATGACAATTTGGTTTAAGGTTCAAACAAATTTCAAGTTCAAGTGAACATTCCCCCAAACTTATTTCAAATGGCATTTCAAAGTTCAATTCAATACCTATGAGTGTGTACTTAAGCCAAAGAACAACAATGATATCCTAGCAATGTATTTTGAACTCAAAACATCTAATTTCCCCCCCAAACTTATTCGAAGAACAAAGAATCTTGATATTGCAACAAAGATCTATTCGAAAGATGTAAACAAGCTTTCCAAACCAACAATGTGACATAGGTTTGTGCAATTATTGACAAAAGTATATACAAGCAAGAAAACTTATATTTTATTCCAAAAGGCATAACACTTTATTAAAAGAAATCACATTAGGGCAATTTCAAGCTTCACCATGCAACATCAAAACACTTGACTTCCAAAAGTAGGGTTCAAGATGACGTTTCAACACATGTTCCAAGAAAACTTCAAGTTCTAAGCAATTTGGCTCAAAAGATATCAAAAAGAGGCCCTCACATGGCAAGAATCAAGAAATGGATACAAACAGCACTTGAAACAAGCATATGGATGAAGAATAGAGCAAATGGAACAAGTTCAACTCATTTAAGGGCATGTCGGACAACTTTGGAAAATTTCAAAACTTTGGTTCGAAAGTGAAAATTTTGAAACTTTGGGGTTGTAGTGCTTACATGCATTGTAATTAGGCATTCTCACAAGAATCAAGCATGGAAACACTTAACAAATGAAGGAATTCAAAACTCAACTTCATATTTCAAAATTAGAGTCCAAAAACTCATTTTCAAATTTTGAAAACCAAAAACTTATTCACAAATGAAATTTCCAACTTTCAAAGGTCATTATTCAAAATTTAACACCTTAACCATGAGCATAAATCAAATTAAGTTCAAAAACTTGCAAAAAGTTCTATTTTAAAACAATTTCATGCATTTAGACTTGACTTTTCATTTTCAAGATTTAAAAACACAAATTTCAACTTCAAGTCACATAATTCATGCATTTGAACACTTAGGCTTTAACAAATGAAATGGGCTAGGGAGCATGCTCACAAATTGCCAATTCAAAAGAATGCACATCAAACATTTTTCAAGAATTTTCAAAGTTCAAAGCAATCTCATTTCAATTTCCATTTTTAACAATTCATGCTTCATAAAGTTTCTCCCAACATAATTACATCATAATTTAACATTTCACAATTCCGTTTCAATTTCTCAAGTCCACTTCCCATTTTAAGCAATCAAAGTTCACAATTTAATTTCAAATTCCCTTCCAATTTCCATTTTACACAATTGAACTCAACAATCAACAAAATTCCATTAAAAATTGAAGTCTACAACACAAATCATTTGGAAAAATTATAGCATCACAATCAACATGTCAACATGCACAACTTTTCTAAAAATGTCACCAGTTTAACTGTTCATTTTTCAGCATCTGAAATTCTAGAATTTAAAAATACAAAGCACATATATATCAATTCAATGCCACAGCCCAATCAACAAAACCAACATCCAATATTTTTGCCCGCCCTCCATCAACAACAAACCACAAACAATAAACCAAGTTTTCAGCCCATTCTCCATTCAATACAACACAACTATCCAACCTCCATCCACAAAATCAACATCACAGTGTACCCACAGTTAAGTCCCAAGGTTCCATTTTTGATCAATGTTAGTCCACTTCTATTTTTTTTTTCAATTTTACCCTTTTCATTTATTTAATTTTTATGGATTTCCAATTTTAAATTGAATCATATAGATGCATTTACACAAGAACATAAAATTGAAAAACAACAAAATGAAATGAAAAATTAAAAATTAAATTCAAAATGGGTACATACCCGCAAGAGAGAGAAGAGGCAACTGAGAGAGAGATGGGAAGACTCTGGAAATTCTGGTCAACCGTGGCCAGAGAAGGTGGAAGGTCGCCAGAATGTCGCCGGCGGTGGAGGAATGAATCTCCTTGGCCTAACTTGGCCGGAGATAGAGATAGAGAACTCTGAGATGCAAGAGGAACACCGAGAGAAGAAGAAGGAGAGCTCGGCCTTTAGCCAAGAGATCTCTGCCGGCGGTGATGGTGGTGGCGCGAAGAGAAGCCTTGGGACTTCGGCGGTTGACAGAGAAAAAATGAGAGATGGAGAGATTTTGTAAGGTGGGGTGGTTCAGGTGTGAGGTAAACGAGAGATTGAGAAGTCGAGAATATAGAGAGAAAGAAAAAAAAAAAAAAGAAAAAAGAGGAAGAAAAGGAGGATAGAGGAGAGAGAAAGAAACATAAAAAATTAGGGTTAGGGGGAGAGGAAAAGCCAAAGCAAAAAATAGGTCTCAATTTTAAATTTGGTCTGTCATAGTTCGATTGATAGAAGTTTGGTGATCGATCGTGAACATTCATGAAGGATGTAAAGAAGATGAAAGGTTTAAGTTCGATCAATTGCTAAGGTTGGCGATCGATCCATAAGTTGACGAACGATACTCTGGAAGATTATAATTTTTGAAGCATAAGTTCTATCAATCACTAAGGACCAGCGACCGATCGAGAAAACTTACGAAGGATGGTGATCGAGAGGTGATTCCAAGGCAAAATTGGACTTTGTAGACTTCAATCGATCGCCCGGGTTTTGCGATCGATCGAGAATGACACAAAAGAGCAGGAAATGCTCAAAATTGCCCGAAAACTCAAATAAAACACTTTGAAACATATCTAGACGACGCAAGAATGAAAAATAAAAAGAAATGAGGGAGTGATAGGATTTGAAAACCCTACGAATGCTAGTGTTTAACATCTCTAGCAAGACGTTGGGCTACTTAGCTCGGATCAAAGATCTTATTGGACATTCCCCTCTCAATGGGGTGCAATGCACTTTGAGCCCCACCCAACAAACCATTCCCTAAGGAACTTGTTGGATTTGGTTCAAAGAAGCTTAATGAACTTTTGTCAAAACTTAAAGATTGACTTTTAGGCTTCTATGGCCTTTCAAACTTGACGTTTGAAATAACACATTGGGAATAATCATTGGAAGGGAAATCATTTAACTTTAGTAGCTCAACAAATGGTAGACTTTCAACCACTTTTTCATCAATTTTATCAACAACATCGACCTCTTCATGCTTGTGAAAAGAGTTTGGGGTCGAATTAAAAATGTTCAATTTTACCTTCATGTGCCCAAATGAAATTTTCATTACCTACGTCCTACAATTGATATTAGCATTGGCGGTGGCCAAGAAAGGATGGTCAAGGATAACGAGAATTTGATTCTTTGGGCTGGCAACCGGTTCTGTGTCTACAAAAATGAAATCAACTGGGAAAAGGAACTTATCAACTTTAATTAATACAACCTCAATGATCCCATAGGGCTTTTTTATAGATTAATCGGCTAGTTGCAAAACTACCGACGTGGGCTTCAAATCTCCCAAACCTAATTGAACATATACCGAATAGGGAAAAAGGTTCACACTCGCTTCTAAATCCAAAAGAGCCGAATTGATAGCAAGATCACCAATGGTGCATGATGTCGCAGGAGAGCCGTGGTCTTTGAATTTTGGGAGGGTGTTATGTTACAAAATTAAACTCACTTGCTCGATAATCAAGACTTTCCTAGGTGCTTGGCTTTTTTATTTCCTCTTTTGTCTGCACAAGTCCTTCAAGAACTTTGCATAAGCCAGAATTTGACGAATGGTGTCAAATAGAGGAAGGTTCACTTTGACTTTTCTAAACACCTCAATCATTTCATTAACTTTGCCTTGTTGTTTCTCTAAAGATAAAGAAGCTTTCAAAGCTTGTGGAAATGGAGCTTCTAGCTCATAAGGCTTTTCAAAAGTACTAGATGATAAATTCTCTTCAATGTGATCTTTTTGACTATGCGAATGAGGAGTAGGATAGGAAACGAGATGGGAGTCAACACTTAATTACATCGGTTCACTCTCTTCACTAGGGATATCCACTTGGTTGTCAATTACTCTCCCACTCCTCAAAGTGGTGATGGAGTTCATGATCGGTCATTAACTATCACAATAATAATCAACCCTTTGGAATAACACAAATCATTGTAAAATAGGGCTATTGGTCGGGTAGGTCGAACCACTTGGACTGTTAGTTTATGGCAAACAAGGTTGTTATATTCACTTTTAGTTTGATGAAGGTGGTAAAAAGTTTGTTTTGTTGTTGTCACTTAAGAGCTAAGAATTTAAATTTCATAAAACAAAAGCTTGCAAGAATTTGAAGAAATGTAATGCAAGTAGAGAGGACTAGGGAAGTGAATCCGCCTCCATCCTTATACACATGCTAGATTAGGACTAATTTGGGGGAAAACAACATATAAAATGGTCATGATATATAGCATCACTCGGTTGCTATAATATCTTCAAGAGATTCATTAAATTAAAAGGCAAGAATAAACCATCAAAGGTCCACATGTTCAACTACCTAAACTAAGGTGTAGCCTAAAACATGCTTACTAAGTCAAGGATCATCAAGCCCTAAATTAAATGATGAAAGCACTTAAAGCTAGAAATCAAGCATAGACCATCAAAGGGAGAACCCAAGCCATGGATTATCAAGACTCTCCAACTTTATGCCAATAAAACCATTCCATGATCTCATTACCATTGTCACCATGAGAGTGCAAGCAAAAATGATTAAGAGAAGAAACCATCTAAAACAGATAATTAACTCAAAATAATCATTTGTATACATTAAGATCCATTATAAGAAGCAAGATGCTCTAGATCATGGAAAGACCAAAAATTATACATTGTTATCCCAAAATAGAATCTAAACTAGAACATGCTTACAAGGGAGGGCTTCATCACCTCCCTAGATAGGGGTTTAGTTACCCATGGATGCAAGGAATGAAGGAGAAAAAGCACCCTCACCCTCCATTTTCGTGCTCAAGGGGTTCAAGAACACAACCCCCACAAGCTCTCAATATTTCTCTCTAAAACTTGGCCCCAATGTAAGATGCTCCATTCCTTTAGCCTCAAGCCCTTTATTAATCCCTTAGCCTCTCAATTTCCCTCTATTTTCGTGCCCTACCAACCCTAGGAGGATTAGAACCACAAAAATAACCCTATGGGACAGCATTGGGATACAGAGTGCAGAGTTGTTTGCAGATCGGCGAGGGCCCGCAGGGCGCCCACTGGCGCCCGCGGATCTTTGCATGATGAGGGGACTCTCTGGAGGGTTTGGCAGGCGCCTACGGAACGTGCGGCGGGGGCCCGCGAGCACTGCGGGGCCCCGCGGATGAAGGATGGCTACTGGTATGATTGGCGGGCGCCCGCGAAGACTATCCCTCAGCAATTTCAGCCCTCCTTCGAACTTCAAATGAAATGTCTGTCAATGCACTCTTTGACCTGAGCTCAATATCACAACCCCACATACATGAGGACTCAAGACGTTTTGGCTCTAAAAGACGGTTCCCAGCAACGGCATGTGTAAATCAACAAAAATGCTTCTTTAACCATATTTGGGGCAACCGACCTGAAAGACAACAGAAACAGACAAATAAAGCAAAATTGTACATTATCGCCAGCTAATGGACTTAACTAATGTAAATAAAGGCGCTTGAATATGCAATATTCGGCGATTCTCACACCCCCAAACTTGCATTTTGCTAGTCCCATAGCAAAACTAAAATATAGAACCAAACAAAAATGACAACATATGAAATGCTAACAACATGCATTAATCATGAAACAAGAAATTACCTACGGAGCTCAACTGTAACTTGGAACAACAAAATTTTGGAAATAGACTCAGTAAGCAAACTACCTTACATATATAAAGCCTTGATACTCAAAATGGCAAAATAAGTTACAACTTTTACGCATTACTCATTAAGACCTATATAAACACTTCAATTGTCATTTCTAAAATGGAATTTAACTCTAACTTCAGTGAAAGTGAACTGGATTCCCAATATGCGGCTTTTACCCTCTTTTTTCCAATCCGAAAACACAAGCTTTCAAATCCTTAAATCTCCTTCTAAATGAGGTCCCCAAGGCTTAACTTTATTCATAAAACAACTTTTGTTGCTTAATGACGATTTTATTTATCAACTCAAGAGATCACTTACTATGGTCGTGCGATGTCAAAATCCTTTAAGCTTTCTAACCAACCCATGTAGCAAGTGTTAGGCCAACAACTCCCAAACCAGATGGCTTTAGGGTGTTAAGTGTAGAGACACTCCTAGGGCTTAATAACTTGAATTGGAAAGGCTACGAACTTCGACGAACCATATTTATTTATTTTTGGATGACCGTGCAATGTCTAAGTCTTTTAAGCTTTCTAACCAACCCATGTAGCAAGTGTTAGGCCAACAACTCCCAAACCAGATGGCTTTATGGTGTTAAGTGTAGAAACACTCCTAGGGCTTAGTAACTCAAGTTGGAAAGGCAACGAACTCAAACTAGTCATCATTATTTTTTATTTTTTATTTATTTATTTTTTTTCATTACTGTGTCAAGGGTATCCATTCATTAGGGTCACCAATTCAGATCAACTGAGCCCTGGTCAAGGTCAATTGGGTTACATACCTCATAATTAGGTTTCCTGTGTGCAAATGTGCAAAGTGAAGCATAAAAGAGTATGAAGTCCTGCGAAAATCTAATTGAAGTACTTATACAAACCGATATGAATCAACATGCTTATTTCAAAAAAAAAAATTTATTTATTTTCAAAAATCTCTTGGCTTCTATATGCAAAGTATTAAACACATGTTTCGATTCCAAAAGTTCCAAATTACACTATTATTGCTCCTAACAACATGATTTTATTAATTAACATGCATAAAAAATGACCAAAAATCATAAGAATGTAAGTACATGCACCCCTAAACTTGAATGTCACATTGTCCTCAATGTGAGAAGACAAAGGATAAGAAAAATAGAAATAAAAATGGAGAGTGCCAAGAACAATAGTACCAAGTTGAGGAGGAATGGAGTAGCGGTGCAAAAATACGCCACTTCGTGCATTCCAGAGCATACCCCCAAACTTAAATTCAAAAACCTATCAAAAGCATCTATACAGAGCAAGAATCATATGAATCCAAAAATCACTAACGATAACTGCAATTTATTTCAAAGCGAAAATCCATGCAAAGAAGCAAAATGGAATGCAATTATAAGTTCAAAAGAAACTGGAAAATAAATGGCAAATGCGGCCCAAAAGAAGTCTAAAATAGTACTACGGGAAAAAGGGAAATAAAACTGA